GAAAGCATTGAGCGTCGTGCTATGTTCCGCTCGCTGGCAGTGTAACGAAGGCTACGGGCACGAGATCAGCTGCGAGACGTTTTTTTCACAGGACCAGCGCCCGGGCTGGAGGAGCGTGCAATGTACAATGCAAGGGACAGCCGATTCGGAGCACACTACCGCACGCGACGCACGCGCTAGGGCCTTGGGCCACGGCAGCCACGCCCACAATAATAACGTCACGTGACACAAAGACAATAAAAATGTATTTATATGCATTAATACTATTTTTATAACTCACAACTTTTGTCAGGCTGCGTTTAAAAAGTTGTAAATAAACAAATGTTGTGACGAAAATGTTTAGTTACGTGACCTTTTACTGTAAAGCTACATTAAAATCGAACAGGTTTATTTTTATTTGTACTTATTTTCAAAGGCACATTATATTCTGTATGTAGTAATGATTTATATTAGTTATTAATAATTAACAAGGTGACGTCACTTCCGTTACGTCACTTCCGGCGTCGGAGGAGTGATTTGCACACAGATGTCACTCCTTCGACGGGTGTCGGAGGAAGTGCGGCCAGTAGATTTACACAAAAATCAGTAGATTCTGCGAAATCTGTGCTTTGTCATGTCTTGCTATTTCCATTAAACCACACTTCGAAGATTTTGTATAGAGTAACGAATACCATGGTAATATACACAAATAAAAATGAAAAAAAGAAACAAGACCAGTTTTCGAGTAATTTACGTATACCCAACTAAAGTTAACCTGTTTTATAGAGGACAAAGTGAAATGGCGCGGTAAATGTTCTTTTTCTTTTTTTTTTTTGTTTTCTTGTTTTTTTGCTTTGTTTGATTAGCGTTGACTAGTTTCATTTCATTTTCATTTTATTACCTTAAAGACCCCCTTTTAGGGGGTATTACATAAGGGGTGGGGTTACAAAAATAATCAAACATAGGTGCTGGTCTTCAGGATGAGAGATGATTGGTAACATTTTCGAAGAAGATTGATGGGCAGGTGATGGCAGCAATGTGGTGGGGAAGGCCGTTCCAGTCTGGAGCTGCTCGGGGGAAGAATGACGCAGAAAAAGTGACAGTGCGAGCGCGTGGGCGAGCAACCTGGAGAGGATGACTGGTGCGGTGAGATATGCGTGTGGGAGGTACGATGTAAGGTGAGATACAGAGGGGGGAATTGAATAACTTGCGAAACAAACAGAGGGTAGCGATGCGGCGACGACAAGCGAGACTAAGTAAACCTGATTCAGCTTTCAGGGGTGATACGCTGGTATGGTACGAGTATGAAGAATGAATGAATCTAGTTGCGCGATTTTGGACTGCTTCGATTGCGTTGATGAGGTATACTTGGTGAGGGTCCCAGACGGCGGATGCATATTCAAGCTTTGATCTTATTAGTGATTTGTAGGCGAGTAGTCTTACTTCCTGAGGGGCGTGGCGTAGTTGACGTTTAAGGAATCCCAGGGTTTTGTTAGCAGATGAGGTAATGTTAGTAATATGCATACGCCAAGATAAATCGCTGCAAAGGGTGACACCAAGGTATTTATATGATTCGGTTAATTCTACGGGGGTGGTAGTGATGGTATAGGGAAAGAAAAGGGGATTGCGGCGGCGGTGAAAGGACATAACTTTACATTTAGTAGAGTTAAGTGACATTAACCAACGGTCGCACCATTGCAGCACGCGGTTAAGGTCGTTTTGGAGAGCAGATTGGTCCGATACGTTAGTGATGGAATGATAGATGACGCTGTCATCTGCAAACATGCGAATATTACAGGATAAATGTTGCGGTAAATCATTAATATATATTAAAAATAAAAGCGGACCAAGAACAGACCCTTGGGGGACGCCCGATGTGACTGGGATGAGATTAGAAGACTGGTTGTTAACTAGGACAGATTGGGAGCGGTTGTTAAGAAATTCTTTGATCCATCGTAAGATATTATGGTCTAAGTTCAACTGAGCAAGTTTTAGTAGCAAGCGCTGATGAGGTACTTTGTCAAATGCTTTTGAAAAATCTAAAAATATGGCGTCAGTTTGTATGTTAGAGTCGAGGTTAATGTGCAGATCATATCACTCTCAGAAAAAAAGGGCGTATGTGGGTGTATCGCGCACCCTTACACCCCCCTTCGACTGGAGACACCCGGCGAGCGTAACCGCACTCCCATCACGCGAATCCTCCTCTCCCAAAGGAATCGGCGGGCGAGGCGAGGGTGTTGCCAGGTGCACCATTACACCCCCTCCCCTTTCCTTTTTCAAAAAGGGGAGAGGGAGTGCTATCAGGAGAGCGCAAGAAAACAAACAAAATGCGCGCGGTAATAGAGTACAGCGCGCATCCTGATTAGCAGTCACTGGTTACACGTCATCCGACTGACAACCTACCGCGATAGCGATCGCGTTTCGCGCGCTATCTGGCCTTCGTGTTGCTAGTAGACTTGACCTCCTCACCTCCTGCGTTCCATCTCGGCGTGCTTCGGCGGCCATACTTTTGCTTCGGCTGGCGGGTGACATCGCCTTTGTTCATTCGCGCTATTTTGAATTGCGTGTTTTTTTAGAAGGTGGTTGGACAAAGCGGATCGTGTTCACGAAGCGATGCTTGGCACGTAGCTGCAGTCACAAACCAAGATGTGCCCGCCCGATAAAGGTAAGTCTGCCGTTTACATGCACTCGTTGGATGCTGCGTTTTGCGAGGCATGGGGCCTGCTAGCTGGGGACGTGCTTTCCTTTTTTCTCCTGTTTATGTCAAAGTTTCTTCGCTTTTGTATTTGTGGCATGTGTGCGCGGTGGCGGTGCCCGGTTCTATGAGTGTACAAACGAGCACGACATCGCAGCTTCGAGACATTATTCTTGCGTGTAGAGCTGGCGTCATTCAGAGCAACAAATCTCTATCGTTTCGCAAAAAAAAAACAAAAAAAAAAACACTTTTTGTGGACAGACGTTTCATGGACTCTCGTTCGTCGACACTATCGTTCCATCGACAGTCATTACGCGGATTTAGCGTTGTAGGGACATTTCGTCGCGGGTGTATCCTACACGTACTATCCGCTTCGTGGCAACAGTGTGAGGCAGCTCCTTACAGAAAAAAAGGTAGTTTGTGCTGTCGATGAATCATCGCGTATCTACAAAACGATCTGTCGGTGAAACGTAGTTCGATTGCAGAGCAACATGCTCGCGCTTGTTACCGGCTTCGCTCGCACGTATGGTTATGCAATGCGATTTTCAGTGGGGATGATGGAACTAAGGTGGCGCTTCGGGACAAGGCAGTTAGAGTTCTTTTATAGGTTTCCTACGGGAGTCAGAGTTGCGCATTCATCTTCGTAGCGCCGTCTTTCGTGCACGGCATGTTGATCCAGCTCCTCACGCGACTTTTGGACCTCTTGGCGAGTATGTGCTGCCACCTCGACACGAGGCTAAGTGTCGAGAAAACAACGCGCGCGCAAGGCCTCTCCCACCCGTTCGACACCCAAAACGTCAGCTACATCCTGTTCAACCATTGAGGCGCTGTGACCTAGATGCTGCTCCCCCAAACTCGCCTTTGTCCCCATCGTGCGTAATCTTCCGCCCCCGAGGTCGACACAACGAAACCATATTCCATCCCTGCTCGGCCACTACGAAGAGGGAGAGGGTACTGGAACCATTGACTCTCGAACCGACGAGGCGCGCGGCACGCTCAAAAGCAGGGGTGCGTACGGCGGGGCGCGTGCAACGTTACTTTCTTGCACGGTACGTGGTCGGATCTCGGCAAATAGCGGCGCGGCGGCACGTAGAAAATAGACGCGCAACTCTGGCTCCTGTAGGGAGCCTATACAGGAACTGGTACTCTAGTGCAGCATTGAGATTAAAGGCTCCAGCCAGAATTGCGCGTCTGGTTTCCACGTACCGCCGCGCCGCTCTTTGCCGATATCCGATCACGTGAGGAGCAGACTCCAAATGCCGTGCAAGAAAGCCACCGGTACGGCGGCTTCGCCGACGGTGCAAGTGCCTCGGTGTGCATACCCCCGCTTTTGCCTCCTCCTGTCCTGCTTTCCAGGAAATGAGGAGGTAGAGCCCGGCGGCCGCTATTCCCCGAATTCAGTCACGTGAGGAGCAGACTTGAAGTGCAGGAAAGCCGGAGCTACTGGGATGAACGCGCAACTCCTGACTCCCGTAGGCTGCCTCTGCAGGAACTCTAGGGCAGCATGGAGTTCCTGCGTAGGCCACCTACGGTAGCCAGAGCAGGGTTGCCAGGCATTTGCAGATTAACCCGTCAAAATTTCCTGATATTGTGCCCAAGAATAGCCAAATGTCGGGCTATAAAAATAGCCCAACACATAAAATTTCATACAAGGTATTTACAACTCTTTGGAACACGGGTAACGTGATACATGACATAAGACAATTATTTACAGAAGAAGGCAATAAGAGGATAAAGCGTCCCCACGTATATTTTAGTGCAGCGAAAGAAGGGGGTTCTCAAACATCTGTTAAGCTGCCCCCACTCCTCTTCCTCCCTCCTTCTGGAAACACGTGCCTCCACCCCTGCCTGCGGTATTAAATCGTGCCAAAAAACTTCAAAAACACGATATTGCACCTCCGCAACCAACACCAATGAGGGTCCACATATTGTATTTTCACGCTTCTGATTTGGATATTTTCCTTTCCTAACCTCTTGAGTTGATTGTTTTTCTCTACCCGGCACAGAAATATCATGTTTAAGGCTTTGAAAATTGTTGAATATCGGGTATGCAATAGCTTAATAGCCAACCACCAGATTTTCCCGCCTATTACAAAACTGAGTAGCCCAATTGGGCTGTTTATAGCCCAACCTGCCAACCCTGAGCCAGAGCTGCGCGTTCACCCCGGAGCACCGGCTTTCCTGCATGGGACAAAATTCTGCTCCTCATCTCACTGGATTGGGCGAATAGCAACGTGCTCCTTCTCCTTCCCTGGAAAACAGGAAAGGAGGAAGAGACAAAAGCAGGGGAACGTACACTGAGGAGATTGCAACGTCGGCGAAACGGCCGTATCGGCGGCTTTCCTGCACAGTATTTGGATTTTGCTCCTCACATGATCGGATCTAGGCGAATAGCGGCGTGTCAGCATGTGGATAACAGACGCGCAACTCTGACTCCCGTAGAGAGCCTATGCAGGAACTCTAGGACAGCATTCACCAGCTTCGGTGTCTGTGGTGCTCAGTTTGGCGTTACTTTGAGAGCTCTATTCGGAAACATGTGCAGTGGCTGTACCCGCGGATGCTAACTTTTGCGAAGCTCGAGTTTGGCTAACTTTGAATTGTCATGTTGGTACCCTACTTGTCAGACTCTTTCTTGGGCAAAATTTGTAAAATTAGACTACACGTTTTACTGCATTTTTCATTTGTGAAGCATACACTTTGTCACACTACAGCAACAATTTGGTGTCGAAGTGTTAATGGTTCAAAAACGCGAGCGTCTCCTTGTGCTTGTAGTATGCAAGTCATCTCACGCACCTGTGAAGTGTGAGATGACATAAGATGCTTGGTTAGATCACGTGTACTAATGACTCAAATCTCTAACGCACAGGAGTGAAGCTCTGCTGCTAGCACAGATGTCGCCATAGTCTCGAGGCACTATCTGGCAAGGTAAGCGATCAACTAGCCTGCTGATCTTTGTTTTCTTGTCATATTGTTAAGCAGATATTGTGAAATTAGGCTAAGTGCTTTCCTACATCACTTGTACTAATGACTTTCATCTCTACTGCACAGGCGAGAGGCTCTGCTTGTAGCACAGTCGCTACCATAGTCCCGATGCCCTTTCTGGGTAGGTAAGCAACCAACTATCCTGCACTGTTTTTTTTTAGTTTGTAATGCATGTATTGTGAAATTGGGCTTGGTGCCTAGCTAGGTCACGTTTACTAATGACTATTTGCACCTAGCTGTGATGCCATCATAGTCCCGAGACTCTGTCTGGCAAGGTAAGCAATCAGCTATGCTGCAGACTGTTTTTCTTTTTCTCAGGTTGTTAGCGTATCTTGTAAAACTAGGCTTGGTGCTTGGATAGATCATGTTTGCTAATGCCTATTCCCTGATGCACAGACCAGAAGCTCTGCACCTAGCAGATGCCGCCATTGTCCCGAGGCACCGTCTGGCAAGGTGAGCAATTTGACTATCCGGTGGACACTGTTTTCTTTTCTTCTTTACTTGTCAGACTGCTGGGCTTATATTGTGTGATTAGGCTTTGTACTTGGTTAGATTACATGTACTGATGACTCAAATCTCTGATGCACAGGCTGCCATCACGGCAAAACAGGATTAATTTTGGCAGATGCCATTCTTCAAGCATGGTATGCAGTCTTTACCATTTTGTAACTATTTGATTCAACGGGGGCGACATGTTTTCTTTAGCGGCATTAATGATAAATAAAGAGTTTGAAGTAAGAAGGACAGCATATAAAATGGCACAAAAAAGGAGCAAAGCATAGATACCATTCACATGGGCGTACCAACCGGGGGGGGGGGGGGCAAGGGGGGCGCAAGGCATGTGTTGTCCCCCCCCCCCCTGCCACCCCCCTAAAACAGCCGCCACAGGGCAGGTTAAAGACTGGCCCGCGGCACCCAAGGGATACCAAGAGCACTCCCCCGCCCCCCCCCCCCCCCCCCCCCCCTTCCTGACTCGAAAACAAGTTGGAACGCCACTGACCGTACATATTCCCCACGAACTACACCCTCTACAATACAGATACAACTACACATTGTATCTGTATTCCTGAATACTTTTTCACCAGTTTCGCAGAAGCGTCTCGGGGATATAGCATTGCATAAAAGACAATGTATCTCAGTATCTGTATTTTTGGCCTTAAAGCAGATGTATCTCAGTATTCCCGAATACTTTTTTGGAGTGTGTCTGCCCAGCCCTGGTTTATGGCACATTAATTTATTCTATCATTCTTATTATTGTCCAGGTACTTCGGGCAAATCAACCCATCAGAAGTGTGATACAAAAGTGCAACCAGTGGCATTGCACCGAAGTTGCGAACTCTTCAAGTGCTTTGACATCTGTGAGTGTACCGTCCTTCAATTATACTCCGTGTCACTAGTTGTGTGTAGTGCAGGTAAATGCAACGGCCATGCGAAGAGAGAAAAGGCGAGCACTAGGAAGGCACATGGGAGGGGAGGGCAGGGCTGGGGGAGAGGGGGAAAGCACTATGAATGTTAGATAGGAGAGGAGGTTACTCACCTCACCCGCCTTTCTAGCGCTTGCCCTTTCCCCTCTTCGGGCATTGCCTTAGCCTGTGCTGCGCGCAAGTAGTGACTGGGAATATATTCACCATTGTACAGATTATGATGCACTGGCAGGTAATAGATAACTGGGTAAAATTAATCTGCTCAGTGCTTGAAGACGCAGCTCGCGACTTGCTTGAACACGGCCCACAGGAAACCAGCTGCAAGCTCCCGTTCTCATAACGAGCATTACAAATGGCATGCATTATAATATGTCGCTAATAGACCGATCTCACCAGCTAGTTTAAGTACGCCACCGCCGCTGATATGCATCGTGGGAGCTGTAGTCTTTCTACACGCGCGACAACCATGCTGGAGGTTTGCGCGAGCAGACCATGAGGCAGCATGAGCTGTCGCGTGAATGGGAGTCTGCCTCCTACGAACTACAGTTATGGCGGCGTCACGCATGCGTGGAACGCTTGGTGGGATCGGTCCATTCATTTACGCTGGAAACGTAGCTATGCTCTTATAACTTATCCACATAGTTAATGTAGTTTCGTTTTTATTTTTCAGGTGTTAAGTCTCTATTTTTCCTTCCCGTCTTTCTTTTTAGTATTTAGCACCTGCACGACAATTCCGCTGGTAGGCTACAACCACGAGCTCTTTGCTCAAGGATGCACCTCAACTGCATGAACTCTCGCTTGACAGAAGCAACCACCAAAGATAAATTCATGAGCTCTGGATTCTCGCCCTCAGAAAATATCACCATTAAAATGCAAGTATTCGCTCAGACTGGTGCTGTCAGAAATTCTCATAAAAGCAAAAGGCATTCTTTCGAGACATGTTGAGCTTGAATATATCCTGAGTGAAATAAGCAACGGCAGCAACAGTGTACTTGTTCTCTTGTCCTCTCACAAAATGCCAGTATGTTGGCGGCAGTGCCAATTTAATTCTTGCGATTGCATCAGGAAAGGGATAAGGGGTGCACTACAAATGAATCACGGCTAAAAATGTCACTGTCAATATTGAAAGTTACAAAATGTGGAGAGCGTAAGGTCCCTTTAACAAATTTCTTGACCCCCATGCCTTACAGAAGCTCTCGATCTTTTGGGGGTGGGCTATCTGACCTCTACACTCAAATGTGCTTGAGAGCACTGTTTTAGATGGTTCAAAATTTTGTTAAAGGCAGCTTGCATTAGGACACCCCTGATGTTGGCATTCGTTTATCTGGTTAGCCGCCACTGAGTACAAGGTTGCTTATGGCATTTTTCGGCTAATTGTGCATTTTATTAGTAAAAAATAAACACAGTTGCGATAAGAAACAGGCTGGCATTGTTGAAAACCGCCAAAATCAGTTGTTTAAACATATTGAAAACACATGCTTTTTATCTGTGTTTTCGGTTTTCCAGCCTTGCACCTGTATCTAAAGTGGTCAACTTTCCACCCCACTATTCTTCAATGGTGTGCAAAATATTTATAAAGTTGGCTGAGTTCCTGGTCTTTGGTAATGCTCATTAAGGCTGCGGTCCCACGGCAGCCATCTTGAACAAGGCGTTAGTTCAACCAATAGATGGCGACACGCACCCGTGGGGTGGCCGAAACATTGGTTCACAGTGGGTTGGCTCGAGCACCATCACGTTCCCCTCGTGGCCTTGCTCGCGCCGCTGCCAGCTGTGCTCAGCTAGCTCAAATAGCGTGGCCCAGCAAACGGATGCATGCGAGAATGTCAGGCTGGGTATAAATTGTTCTCTGATATAGGGACATACGGTTCGGCGGTTGTAACGGGCTTTCGCAATAAATCTTATCAAGAAGGAATCAAATGTTGATTGACATGTCAATATTCTATCAATGAAGATTTCCTCTGCAGGAATGCACGCTCAGTAGACTCAACCAGTGGAAGCGGACGTCAAGTAAACTGCTTCGCGATTTACGGTACTTACCTCACCATTTTAATGACGACTAAAATAACGTCACGAAATATTGGGTTTCACGGGGTCCGGAAGATGTTGTAAAGGTTGTTACATTATAGTTCCCAAAAAACAAACGCAGTTGCAATATTTTCGGAAGTACCGACACACATAATGTTGTAAGTACAGCTTAGGAAAACCATCAGAAGAAATAGGAAGACGTTTATTTGCAATGAAGACGCTATGAATGAACGGCGTTTAGCCACAGCAAGTTATGAGCGTTTGGGAATTTATAAGTTGACGTGATTTCTAACTATGGACATGCGAACAATGAAGACCAGTTTTGTCGGGAGATGGTGTTGCGGTGATGACCTGGGCCGGCTTGCTCGAAGCAGAGTCTCAGTTGAGACTCCTCAAAGAAAGCGCTGTCAAGGCTAGCGCTCGAGCTTAAGCCGAGTCTCAGACGCTCGCGCGCCCGAGCCTTGGCAGCGCTTTCTTTGAGCAGTCTCAACTGAGACACTACTTCTAGCAAGCCGGCCCTGATATCGGACGACTCATGCAGACGAACAAGCAAGTTTCTTCTCAGCGAATGGTAAGTGTCCAGTGTCAAGCACAACACGTGGCTACCAACGTTGTCGACGTTTCGAACACTTGCCGCTTTCGACAAAAGTCCTGGCACCTGGGCTAACTTTGTGGAAAGACTCGAAGTATTCCTTGAATCCAACGCCATCATGAACAGTAACTGAAAAAGATCCACTATTCAGTCGGTGGGTGGCGAAACGTATCCATCTACGGAGTCATGGGCGATGCGTGCTATAAGTGGCTGGAAGTTTACACGATACCTGCCACGACCTCCAAACACGTCATTGACGTTCTACGGTCTCTTTTACCTACTTTTGCCCTACCGAAAATACTTCTCTCTAATAACGCGCAAAATTTTGCTTCAAATAAAATAAACAAGTTTTTGAAGAAAAAAAAAACGGCATGAGGCATCACATTAGTGCACCATACCATCCTGCAACTAACGGGCAAGCAGCGCAGATGATGCGCGAAACGAAAAAAAGCCCTTTTGAAGCTTACGGAAGAAGCAGTTCAGTGAAGGATCGCCAGGTTCTTGTTCCGGCAGCACGCGACGGTCTCACCTTACACGAAAAAAAAACCCGCCGAAGCAATATTCGGCGGACGAAGAGCCACACCCCTCGATCTCATATTACATGTAGCCTACGAACAAAGATCGAGAGATTCTCAGATAGAGAGTAATGGCAGTTTAATCGGTCGGACAACTCGTCTACGTGAGGAATTTCAGCGGAAGTGGGGCCTTCCATGTTAAACTTGAGTAGAAAAGGCTCTATGTTGGTTGACCAGGAGGTGTCATCTCTCTGAATACGTTGGATATCAATGACCTGCAGTGTAAATATAACTAAATCACAAAACTCTCTTTGTGTATTGTTTAACTGCCCTTGTATTAGATAGTAGAAGCTGTAGTGGTGATATGGACCTTTCACACCAGGCTCCTTTTTCCTATTTTTCGCATCATACTCCTTTGCGGTTTAAGTATGCTTCAAGAATCTTTTGGAACGGGGACACTTTACGTCAACGAGGCCATTTGTTCCAAATAGTCAATCAGGGAATGCTGCTAGAAATCCATCTCTTATATTAACGAATACGCCGCACTTCTGCACAGTGCAGCTTTCCTGTTCAACGTACAGTTGTAAAGCAGCATCCTCAATGATTCTACCTTATACTGTAGCGGGTGAAGAAAGTCTTTGGGTACACG